AGCCCATCTCCCCTGACCCGAGCCCCGAGCCAGCCAGCCAGCCGCTCAGCCGGCGGGGCGGGAAGGGGCCGGGCAGCGGGCGGGGCGGAGCGGCCGCGGCCGGGACCTGAGGGTTCCATCGCACTTACTTCCTGTTTTGGGTCCGGGCACTTGGGAAGAACCAGGATGGAGGCTCCGAAAATACCAGGATGGAGGAAGCGGCCGCGGAGAGAGCGCCGCCGCAGCGGGTAAGAGTGAGCCCCACAGACGCCGGAAGTGAGCTGTGTCGCGCAGCGCCCCGCCCGCACGCCATGGCGTCACTTCCGGCCAAGTGGAGCGCGAGAAAGGTCTCGGGCCGAAGGGGTACGCTGAGGAGGTCGGTTGGGTGGAGAGGAAGTGTCGCTTGATCTTGCTGCCTCACTCGCAACGAGGAGGTGCTGTGCGCGTCTTGCCGAGACGGCGCGGAGCGAGGTGCGGGCACAGGCCTCTGGGGCACGGTTCCGGCTTCCGCGTGGCTGCGCTGGCTACGTGAACGCAGTTAGAGAACGCCAGCATGGGTCGGAAGCCCAGCGCCGGCCGGCCGGCCTTCGAATCCTCGAGATCCGGCCTCGTCCGCTGAGGAATCCCGAGGCCGGGCAGGGTGCGCCGGCGACAGCTCCCGAGAGACTGCAGCCTGGGCGTGCTGACGTGGGACCCGGGGGTGCCGGCCTGCTTTTCCCTGCTGGGATGGAGGAGACTAAGTCAGCCTTGAGTAGTATTCTTCCATCCAAGGGCTTGTGTCCTCAAGCCTCGGTCTTAGTGGCTGATAAAGTTGGGATTTCGTAATTGGTTTTCTGCTCTCCTTCCCCTTCAGTTTCAGTTGTTCTACGCAGTTTCCCCCTTTTTATACCAAGTGTTGTTGGAAAACTGCGACATTGGTTCATTAAAGACGAGGAAAAAACTGACCACATTGAAATGAGTTTTACAAATAAATACTTGTTTAGCTTTTCAGCCATATGTACATAGTTTTCATCAATAGTCCCATTTCATACCATTTTTCTCCGAAATGTGTCTCCCGAACGTTGCAATTCACAAAAATTAAAAAGAATGTAAATACCGAGATGCTGCAGACAGGTTGTAGATCAGCTGAAAGCTGAAACCCTAACAACACAATCTGGCGAGGCGGTGGAAAAAGGAACTCGTTCTGTGCCGGTGGGAATGCAAATTGGTAGGGCCGTTTTGGAAGAGAGTTGGTCAGTTTTTTAAAAAATAAACATCCTTACCACATGATACAGCGAACACTCATTATCCAGATGCATTGAATACTTAAGTTTACACAAAAACTTGTACACTCTTTTTGCAGCAGCTTTTTTCGTAATTGCCAAAACTAGAAAGCAACCAAGATGAATTTCAGTGAGTGAATGGATAAACAGGCACAAGCGTACAGTGGCATTGTACTCAGTACTCACCAGGAGAAAGCCAGCTACTGAATCTTAAGTGGGGCGGAATCACATGTACCACTCGGGTGGGAGCCACTGATAGTAGAGGAGACTACGTGTGGATATGTGGAAATTGTCTACTTCCTACTCGTGCTGTGAACCTGAAAAAGTATGAAAGAGCTAAATAGGCCCTTGGGTTTGATAATGTGTACTAACATTCTCTGTAGGCTTGTGTGTCAGTTGAATGCTTTACAGGTATTGAACTCAGTGTTTACAGCTCCTGAAACAAATACCAGGTGGACAGCTGTGCTCTGAACTCTTCTGTTGTAGCTCACAAAATACGCTTCATGAAGAGTCTTCTCCTATTGAAAACAAAGGGTTGCAGCCAATTTCCTGATTGTGTGTGTGTGTGTTGTGCATGCAAGGCAAGAGCTCTACCACTGAGCCATGTCCCCAGCCCATCCAGATTCTTTACTTAACTGTGGAAGGTAGACATGGTTTAGATCTAAAATGTTCCACTGAAATCTCACGTGTAGAGGTGGGACCTGGTGGTAGATTATGAGTCACTAAAGGTGTGACCTGAAAGATGTGTTTTTGCCTCCCCAACCTGTTTCCTGCATGCTGTTCAGTGAACTGCACAATGTCTGCCTTGGAGCTGGCAGACCATGAGCTGAACCTGGGGAACTGCAAGCCTCGCTAAGCCTCACCTTCAGATTGCAGGTGCCAGTGTTTTTGTCCCATGGTGGGAAAGTGACTGGTAACAGTGGACATGTTTATCACAAACTTATGTTTTTGTTGATAGTAGCTTTATTGTCAGTTTGTGGCACTCTTGCTTGTCTTGGAGCTATGACATCTGTTGTTCTATTTTTAATACTGCACAAGTGGTATTTATGTTAGCAGGTATTTAGTGGTATTTATGTTATTGGTATTTATGCCATTAACTGAGTGTGAATTGGGATAGAATTGTTGCATACACGTTGGCGTCCAACCCAGTTGACCCCAGGACTTAATGGTGAGCGTGTTACCTCACACCCAGGCTTCATTTACTTTTGAAAAGTGGGAGTGATGAGATCTGTTCTCCAGAAGCACATCGCATGTAGGTCTGAAATGCGCCTCACCAGGCTGGTGCGTTGCAGTGTGTTCAGAGATGGGCCGGTGGGGCAGGATCAGATCTCAAGGACTCTGCTCGGATTATTCCTCCAGTAATTCAGGTGGGTTCAGAGGACTGTTGTGAGGTGACAGAGGCCTAGATGGAGGTGGGGCAGAGTGGCTTTCCTGGAAGGGCAGATCTCATCTCTGCCCCTCCTTGCTCCCTTGCTGCCACCTGGCTGTCATGACGTGGCCAGTTTGCTCTGCCACACACACCTGCTGTGATGTACTGCTTGCCACAGCCCAGAAGCTGCAGAGCCAGTGAGCCATGGACTGAAGCCAAGAGACAAGCCTTTTCTCTTTTAGGTCCCTTGGCATTTTGTCTAAGTGACAGAAAGCTAACGTGAATGTAGACAGTAGTTTTCACAGAGCTTAACATACGTTATCAGCATTAAAATGGAAACTAAAGCCCCTGAACCAGAAAAGCAAAACCACTCAAAGAGCAGCTCTCATGAAATACTAATTATGCATTACAGTGTGGATGGCTGACATACTCATGAGAAAGTGGTTCCTAATTAGCAACGTTTTCATAGAGCAGGCAAGTAGAAGCTTTCACTAAGGCAAAAAAATGATGTCTAAATTAGTTTGGCTGCCATTCACGTCTGCAAAATCTTCCATAAGCCTGCACACTTGATAATTTCAAAAGTCCTACCTGTCCTTATAATTATGTTCTCCCTTGTGGATAGTTTCTTTCATAACTACCTTTCCCCAAGGTCAGCTGGTATTTACCTGGACAAAAGTATATTTTCATATTAGCTTAATATGTAATTGTATCGGAAAAGCAAGAGGGATTGCTTCTCACCAGCAGGCAAGTGATCAGTTCCGTAGCAGATGCCATCTAGGTGTGGCGCAGTTTAGTTTAGTTTTTGTTTTTAAGCGTACAAGGTCTACAGGGGCTCATTACATAGATCAAACTCATAATGATCCTCCTGTTTTCAGCCTACCAAGCGCTGGGATTACAGCCACCACGCCCAGACTCAATGGCCAGCTCAGCATGCCCCAGCTGCCGCACTCTACCTAAGCAGGCACTTTAGTCTGCTGAGCTATCTGGCTGGCCCCATACAGTTTAGTTTTGACGCTGTCTATCTGGAGATAGGCTCAGGTCCCCACGACTGAGTCTTCCACTCATACTCAGATGCCAACCACGTGTCCCAGGTAGTTTTACCTGTGCTTCTGGTCAACCGGGTAGAACTTGAGATTCCCATAGCCACATCCTCAGGTTTGATTAATTTGCACAAGTAGCTTACAAGATTCAGGGAAACATTTCCTTCTGTTTGCTGTCGTATTCCAAAGAGCATTACAAGTTTCATATGAAGAGACGCATAGGAAAGGTGGAAGAAGGAGCACAGAACTTCTGTGCCGTCCTGCATGTCCAGGAGTTCTCTGAAGGCTGCCCTGGCTTCTTAGGCAGGCTCTTGGCACAGGTGTGACTGAAGTGTGGACAGCCACTTTGACAGGTGACCAGGTGGAAGGAGGCGTGACCCAAAGTTGGTGGACCTAGTGGGAATCCTACTTGGCCTCTCTGTGTAGCACGCGTTCCTTGTGGGCACGAAGTGGATCTGCTTCTGAAATAGGGGCTCTTATTGTTTACTATAGGTAATGAACAACACAGGTTGGTCAGAGAACTTCTTTTTGACCAGCTTCCAGACAAAAAGATTTGTAAGATGAAAGCTTCTGTGGTGTACTTTGATGAAAAGACACTGTTTCATGGTCTTTCTTGGGAGTGAGTTATGAGCCAGGAACCATAGCTGAAAATTAAAAGTACATATATCAGTATCAATTTTAAAAATGAATGTATTACCATAACATTTCTATACCTCTGTCTTGAATAATTAAATGTGCAGGCTTCCCATAACACCATTTGAATCATAGACCATCTCCCTGCAGTTGTACCTGTTTTACTACTTGATCAATATGTATGTAGGGAATACATGAGATTTTAAATATTACTTAAATAAGGATTCAATGTTTTACAGAGAAAGCATGAGAAATATTTTTATCCCAAGAAAAAATATTAAAGTATTTATAGCACAGCAAATACTTATGTAGGTAAAGTGTCTTACTCATTTTCCATATCTGATATTCGCAATTTAAGGGAGGAGGGACTTATTTGAGCTCATGATTTGTAAAGGGTTCGGTCATATATCCTGCTGGCTGCAAGGCAGGGTGGTATGTCAGAGGGACCTGGCTCATGGCAACGTGGCAAGTAAGAAAAGACAGACGGAGGAAAGGAGGAAGGGAGGAAGAAAGAAGAACAAGGGAGAGAGAAATCCTCTAGGCTACGCCCTCAGTGGCCCAACTCTTCCAAGCATAGCCCACCCCAAAGAGTAACTCAGCCATCAACTCACCCAGCGATGAGTGTCACGCCTCCATGATCCAGACACCTCCTGAAGTGCCACCTGTGAGCTGGTGAGGCTTCGGAGGGACATCTAGATATTAGCCATAATCTACAGGCAGGCAGGTATGTGGACAGATACATAGACCTGCATTTGCTAGTTATGATTATTTCTGCTGGACTCGAGTTTTGTAGTAATATTCTCATAAACCTCATTAGAGATTAAGTGTTAATGAAATTATTTTTATGAAAAGTTGTTATATTAACATAAAAGTGTTTCAGATACTGGGAAGCGCGTTCTATTATTTCATAATACTAATAGATAGTATGATTTACA